ATTAAGGAGAGGATGAATGGGGCCATTTATTGTGAGATTTTGAGCAACAACCTCCTTCCCTCAGTCAGTGCATTGAAGATGGGTCGTGGCTGGGTTTTCCAACATGACAACGACCCAAAGCACACAGCCAGGATAACCAAGGAGTGGCTCCGTAAGAAGCATATCAAGGTTCTGGAGTGGCCTAGCCAGTCTCCAGACCTAAATCCAATAGAACATCTTTGGAGGGAGCTGAAACTCTGTGTTGCTCAGCGACAGCCCCAAAACCTGACAGATCTAGAGCAGATCTGTGTGGAGGAGTGGGCCAAAATCCGTGTTGCAGTGTGTGCAAACCTGGTCAAGAACTACAGGAAACGTTTGACCTCTGTAATTGCAAACAAAGGCTTCTGTACCAAATATTAACACTGATTTTCTCAGGTGTTCAAATACTTGTGTTCAGCAGTGCAAGACAAATAAATTCTTTAAAAATCATACAATGTGATTTCCTGAATTTTTTTTTTATTCTGTCTCTCAGAGTGGGAATGCACCTACAATGTGAATTTCAGACCCCTCCATGATTTCTAAGTGGGATAACTTGCAAAATCGCAGGGTGTTCAAATACTTCTGTTCCTCACTGTATATGCATGATTTTGCCTTTTGCAGCTGTTAATCACTGGATCCCAGCTGGTGATTACCTGCCTGCGCCCATTGATTACCTGCCAGTGCCCTGTGAATACCGAGGATCTCCAATGGGGAGGAGGGCTGTTTTGTTTACTAACAGTCCTCGTCCCTGTGGACTCGGGTACACTGCTCTGGATGGCTGTGCACAGCACAGCCCTTACAGTGAAGCACCAACACACCGCCCCCCAGTAAAACACTCCCAGCACACAGTTAACCCTTTTATCGCCCCTCATATTAACCCCTTCCTACCCGGTGCCATGAGTACAGTGTCAGTGCTTTGTTTTAGCACTGATCACTGTATTGGTGTTGCTAGGGATGTCAGTGTCACCAAGTCAGTCGCCCCCAGTGTCAGAATGCCCGCCCAAATCCCACTTTAAGTCGCTGATCGCTGCCATTATTAGTAAAAAGAATTTCCAGTATCTATATTGCCATTTGTAAATGCTATAACTTTCACATAAACCAATTAATTTACACTTATTGGGATTTTTTTTAGCAAAGACATGTAGCAGAATACATTTTGGCTTAAAATTATAACAAAACGTGTTTTTTTAATTTGTTTTACTGGACATGTTTAATAGCAAAAAGTCAAAAATATTGTTTTTTTTTCTCCAAATTGGTGGTATTTTTTTTTTGCGCCAAAAATAAAAAACACACAGGTGATCAAATACCACCAAAAGAAAGCTCAATTTGTGGGGAAAAAAGGATGTAAATTTAATTTGGGTGCAGTGTTGCATGACCGCACAATTGTCAGTTAAAGTAATGCTGTGCAGTAACGCAAAAAATGGCCTGTTCAGGTAGGGGGTAAATCCTCAGGGGGGCAAGTGGTTATATAGTGGAAAACTATATACATTTACACCAGTATGGAAGATAAAAATAGTTTGATGCTGCAAAACACTCGGTGGTTTAATATTATATATTTCCATCTAACTAAAATATACTTGTAATTATAATATTATTAATTAATATTAATATTAATAAAAAAGGAAACACTGCATGATTTGCAGGTGTGAAAGTGAAAACGCTTTTGCATTGAAAGTGATGTAACATTCTTTTGCTTCAGCTGTGTGATGAGACACCTAGCTTACAGGTGGGAAGCCTCACTTTCATCAGTCCCATGAAGACTAGGTCCCATGAAGTCAGAGATTGAGCTCGACAGTCACTTTTGCAGCAGTTGTTCTCTTATTCCAGGTCACAATCCTGCACAATGTCCTTTTGTCTCTTTCGGTCAGTAAATTATTTTGACCGCGCTTATGCTCAATCAGACAGTGTTTTCCTGGAAACTGTATATGCCATCATAACCTTCGAAACTATACCTCACAGTAAATAAATTGGCAACTTCAGTCACAGAGGCACCAGCTAAGCGGGTACGAACAATTTGCCCTCTTTGAAGCCCAATAAGTTCTGATATGAAAATGAGGCTTCCCACCTGTTAGCTAGGTGTCTCATCACACAGCGGAAGCAAAAGAATGTTACATCGCTTCTGCTTTCAATGCAAAACATCACTTTTACACCTGTAAACCATGTAGTGTTTCCATTTTTTGTCTAAACTCTGTAAGTTGAACCTTTATAAAGGAATTGAGGGTGCTTCAATAGGGGTCATCCTGAAAATGCTAGTCACCTGGCTGTTATTTTGAACCTCTAGTTTCAATACATTCTCACTGGCTCCAACAAGTACACAGATCAGGAAAATCAAAGTCCGAGGCATGTGTTCTGAGGCAGTGGCTTGAATCAAGGGTTGTATGACAGCCAGGCAACAAGAATTTGCTGGAAACATTTGCTTTAAATCTCACTGTGTCACCTTTGGGAACATGTTCTATGTTCCAGCCATTTTTAGGGTGGAACATGTAACATGTTCCCATAGCCCGCCATCCCCCTCCCTGTGACAGCTAGTAAGGGGAAACTTCTCCCATACTATCTGTCAGATTTGAAAACAGAGCAGCCATGCAAGGCTCCACCTACACGGTCCGTTACTCATTCACAGAGTTCTGTGAATGAGTGCCTACAGGTCCCAGCAGCCTTAGCGACTGTAGGCTTGTAGTTTTCAATGAACTGCCACGGCGCTAGTTCATTGAAGCTTCCTGTCAGAATATCTGCTTGCTTGCACATCCTGTATGGCAGGCAGATATTCTGACAGGTCTGCAGGAGACCTGCATGGCATCAGCGATCTACTGATCTCTGGTGCAATGCTTTCTAGGCTCCTTTGGACAAAGACAATAAATGCACATATTTTTACATGAAAAAAAATGTGCATTTATTATTTTTGTCCAAAAGATGAACATACCCTTTAACACCTTCCCACCCAGCCTATAGCAGATTGATGGCCGGGCGGGACACTCCTAGTTGTGACTGGGCGTTATATGACGTCCTGTCAAAACAAGCCACTCATGCGCAGCTGCGCGATCTGTCACCTGCTGTGTCCACAGGACACAGCCAATTACTACACCGGCCCATTGCCAGCGTCATGTGACCGCTGTGACCAATCACAGCAGTTCACATGTCAATTGTATACAATGGATGGCTTCCTGTCATGCCATCCATTGCATACAATTATGTTGTTAGCTGTGCTGGTCAAAGCAATCACATGATACAGACAGGGCCAATCACAGCCCATCTGTATCATGTGATGAGCTTTGCCCAATCACAGCTAATCACAACAAAAGACTGAATGAATCAGTTTCATTCAGTAACAATAATTGCAAATGTCAATGAAATACAGCAATCATAATGTGTTTAAAAAAAGGAAAAAATCCTGATCACTTGCCCAGAGTAGTTCAGTGTTACTATGATAACACTGTATTGCTTTGGTCACTGTGTTGAAAAAAAATAGTAAAAAAAAGGAGAAAATAATATAATAAAAAATAAAAAAAAATTTAAAAAATTTAATTAATATTATAAATAAAAGAAGCGCAAATAAAGATGTGAAACACAATAGCACAGAGGGAATATGATACAAAATGTAACACTTAAAATAATATACACAAATATTTAAATAATTTGACATAACTCCACCAACTGAAAAATGAAAATTGTGATGATGTGCAAAGTTGATCCACCAATTGATCCACCAATATCACCACATGAATAACATAATGATAATTGATTGAATAAAGTGCACTCAGATATCACCACATGCTCCAGAGGAAACCCTCCCTCAATTCAGTGGAACTCACCAGATATCGTGACCCATCCAAACCTGATAGGCAATTGCGCTTGTGGTGAGTGTCAGCGTAGTACAGATCATCAACCAACAAGCCCTTCATCAATTAGAGACCGATATGATGGCGGGACATCCTCCAAACTATTACACACCATAATTAGGGAAAGATGTGAAAGGAAAATCATAGCGTGAATCCATTAAAAACCATTTATTGGATAGAAAGTATTGCACTCACATAAAATAAATGAAAGCATGCCAAAATATCCACAATAACCATTAAGGGTATCTGCATATCACATGGAGCGAGCATCTCACTCGATCCTCCTCGCGAGCAATACGTCACTTCTGGCAGGGGATGTAAGGTGGATGTCTCATTCCAGAGTACATCGTGCGGCCTGACCCTTAGGTGGACGTACTCTGGAATGAGACATCCACCTTACATTGAATGATGATCTGTGCTACGCTGACACTCACTACAAGCGCTATTGGTTTGGATGGGCCACGACATCTGGTGAGTGCCACTGGATTGATTGCACTTTATTCAATCAGTTATCATTATGTTGTTCACGTGGTGATCACGGTGGATCAATAAGGACTTTGCACTTCATCACATTTTTCAGTTGGTGGACTTACCGTATTTTTCGCTCTATAAAACACACTTTTTCCCCCAAAAAATGGGGGAAAATGTCTGTGCGTCTTATGGATCGAATATGTAGTGGTTGGCCCGGTATTCCCCCCGTTTTAGAATACTGGGTCAGCCGCTCGGCTCTTCTCTGCAGATCTGCAGCGGTCCTACCTGTTCCTCAGTCCAGTGGTGTCCTCAGTCTTCTCTCCCCGGCGCCGGCATTGGCACCCGGCTGTGACAGCTTGCGGCTTCACAACCGGGTGCCCACTGCGCATGCGTGAGAAGAGCTGCGCTTTACGAATGGCCATGTAATCTTCTGGGACCTGTCACGTGTCCAAGAAGATTACGGGGAGGGAGGGGGAAAGACAACTCCATGGAAGTGGGAGCAGGTACCTGTCAAATTTGGGTACCCGCTCCCCACCTTCGCTCCCCCCAAAGGTTCGCAGTCTCTGGTCATCTCCTGTAGTATGTCCGCAGTCTCTGGTCATCTCCTGTACTATGTCCGCATTCTCGAGTCATCTCGTGTACTATGTCCACAGTTTCTGATCATCTCCTGTACTGTGTCCGCAGTCTCTGGTCATCTCCTGTAGTATGTCCGCAGTCTCTGGTCATCTCCTGTACTATGTCTACATTCTCTGGTCATCTCCTTTAGTATGTCCGCAGTCTCTGGTCATCTCCTGTACTGTGTCTGCAGTCTCTGGTCATCTCCTGTACTGTGACCGCAGTCAATGGTCATCTTCTGTACTATATCAGCAGTCTCTGGGCATCTCCTGTACTGTGTCCGCAGCCTCTGTTCATTTCCTGTACTATGTCTGCAGTCTCTGGTCATCTCCTGTACTATGTCCGCAGTCTCTGCTCATCCCCTGTACTATGTCCGCAGTCTCTGCTCATCTCCTGTACTATGTCTGCAGTCTCTGGTCATTTCCTGTACTATGCCTGCAGTCTCTGGTCATCTCCTGTACTATGTCTGCAGTCTCTGGTCATCTCCTGTACTGTGTCTGCAGTCTCTGGTCATCTCCTGTAATATGTCCGCAGTCTCTGGTCATCTTCTGTACTATATCCACAGTCTCTGGTCATCCCCTGTAATGTGTCTGCAGTCTCTGGTCATTTACTGTACTATGTCTGCAGTCCATTGGTTCAGAATATTTTTTTCCTGTTTTCCTCCTCTAAAATCTAGGTGCATCTTATGGTCAGGTGCATCTTATGGAGCGAAAAATACGGTATGTCAAATGATTTAAATATTTGTGTATATTTTTTGAAGTGTTATATTTTGTATCATATTCCCACTTTGCTACATTTTTTTTCCAAACATTTCAGGGATTTTTGTTTTATTTAGCAAAAAAATAAAAAAAAACTCAGTGGTGAATAAATAGCACCAAAAGAAAGAGATATTTGTGTGAAAAAAAATTATAACAATTTCATATGAGTACAGTGTTGCATGACTGAGCAATTGTCATTCAAAGTGCGACAACACTGAAAGCTGAAAATTGGCCTGGGCAGGAAGGGCGTAAAAGTGCCCGGTATTGAAGTGGTTAAAGTAATGAGATGACTGTATATCTGATAAGGGGCAGAGTGAGGAACATGCAATGGATATGCCTGGAAATTAACCTTCTACATTAGGATCAGATTTTACCAGATTACTGACCAAAGAAAGCAGGATCAAAGTGTGCTCTACAGCAGTGCCTTGCTGACAAACTGAAGTACTGAGCTAGTTTGTCTGCATTCCTCATACCCAGGCTAAGGCCGGCCATACATGGATCGATTTTCAAATGATTTTTTATTCATCAAAATCAGACCTAAGAATAATTGACCAATTTTCACTCTGTTAGTGGGGCAATGGCACCAGCCGATTTTCGTGGTTCCTCCCTATTTCGTTTATCGGGGATGTTGGAAAGTTCATGAAAAACTACCAATTATCATTTGTGGCACCATCGGATTACAGAAACGAACAATGTTTTTCGATTTTCAATCGAAAAATCGGTCGGAATTCGACCCATGTATGGCCTGCTTAAGGGTGCATTCACACTTGTGACTACACCCTGCCTGTGATAACATGTGAGCACCCCAATAGGAATCCCTGTGATTAGCTGAGAGTAGGTGCCCCATTAAAAGCAATGTGAGGCTGCCGGCCCTCTCATCTCATCTTCTCACATGTAATCACTTATGCAGTGATCATATGAAAGTGATTGGCCCCGAATGCAGACTTTATGCATCCAGGGCAATTGCTTGCATATGATTGCAGCATGAGAGACTACATGTGAGTGGGTAAGAGTGACTGAGAGGGCAGCCATGCTTTCATTGGGGCCGCCTGCTTGCAGCTAATCACAGGAACCCCTGGTGGGGTAATTGTAGGTGGAGTGCATAACCTTTGCAAGTTACAATAACACCTACTTTATATTATATATATGTTCCCATCCACAAAGCATCACTTTAAAAAAATATTTTAAAATTGCTGCTTTTTTTACTTGCTGACACGTCCCACCCAGCTTTTTCCTGTCAGTACTGTGCTGGCAGCTCTTCATTGTCAGTTGTAAGCTATAAATGCACGCTGGCTGTACTAAGAAAGGGCTTGGGTGGTACATTGTGAAAAAAAAAGGTGTTTTCTAAAGTGTCTTTGTAGTGTATTGTTTAGCAAGTTATGATGAACAATTTAACCACCTCCCTCCCACCATATAAGGCAATGACGGGCGCAAGGTGGTTCTCTCGTTCTGGGAGGAAGTCATATGATGTCCTCCCATTTTAAGTGCGCAGAGGATCACCAATCAACGGAAAGAGCAGAAGATTTTGGTTCGGTCATGTGATCAGCTGTCGCTGACAGCTCGAGAGGAGAGTCGGTAAATCGCATTCCTTGGAGGGGACATGTACACTGATCATCAGGGCACTGATGATCACTGTGCCCTGATGATCAGTGTAGCCCCAGCAGTGCCACCTGTCAGTGTCCATCAATGCCAGCTGTCAGTGCTCATCAGTGCCACCTGCCAGTGCCCATCAGTGCCTCATCAATGCCACATATCAGTGCCTACCAGTGCACATCAATGCCACATATCAGTGCTCATCTGAGCTGCCTTTCAGTGTCACCTATCAGTGCCACCTATCAGTGCCAGTTGGTGCCGACTATCAGTGCGCATCAGTTCCGCCTATCAGTGCTGGCTATCAGTGCCACCTAATAGTGCCAGTCAGTGCTGCCTATCAGTGCCGCCTATCAGTGCCATATTTGAGTGCTGCCTTTCAGTGCCCATCAGTGATAGCTGTCCATGCCCATCAGTGCCACCTATCAGTGCCCATCACTGCAGCTTCATTAGCGCATATCAGTGAAGGAGAAAAATCACTTATTTACAAAATTTTAAAAACAAAAACTAAGAAGAAAAACTTTTTTTTTTCAAAATTTTCAGTTGTTTTTGGTTTGTTTAGCAAAAAATAAAAAACTCAGAGGTGATTAAATACTACCAAAAAAGAAAGCTCTATCTGTCTCAAAAAATGATAAAAATTTCATATGGGTACAGTGTTGCATGACCGTGCAACTGTCATTCAAGTGCGACAGCACTGAAAGCTGAAAATTGGGCCTGAGCAGGAAGGGGGTATAAGTGTCCAGTAGGCTAATGGTTAAAGAGGAGCTTCAGTCCCATCTTTAGTGGCTTTGCCCAGCCCTCTTCAGAGCTGGCACTATGGTGTGTGCACTGATGTGCTCAAGGGCTTGGCCTGCCCTTGGGGTCCTGGCAGAACTCTTCAGGACATTTGCTCAAGCGAAGGAGAATTCCAGCATATGCACAAAGACAGCAAAAGTTCAAGCCCTCCATAATAGCCATTTTTGCGCATGCACAAGGAAAACGGTATATGCACAAATGTGCTGGGGAAACCCAAACATGAGCAGATGTGCTGCAGGGCTCAGTGGGACCTGAAACCCTGCAGCACATCTGAGCACATGCAGAATCTGGTGGGGTGGAGCCAGAGGCGGACTGACAACTCATAGGGCCCCCTGTGTCCTTGCCCAAACTCAAAAAAGCCTATAAAAAAGGTGCCAGGGGCATCTCATGGGGCCCCCTACTGACCTCGGCAGTGCCTGAGTTTCCAAATGGTCAGTCCATTCCTGGGTGGAGCAACAGAAATGTAATTTTCTCCTAGGAGGGAAAAGAAGAAGTCCTGCTTTGCAGCACAAAAAAACTCTTAAAAAATATATTTCCAATTGGGAGAGAGGGAGGGTGAGGAGGAAGGGAAGTATGACACTAAAGCTGGCCATAGATGGTTTGTGTCTCAGCAGGTTCAGCAAGTATCGGCCGAGATTCAATCCATCTATGGGCAGGCTGGTTGTTCTGAAGGCAAACTATTGATTCTTTTGCATGTGATCACTGCTGAAGGCTATATCTCAGAGATCACTACTGCATGTATAGTGATCAATAGGGGTTGCTTTACTAAAGCTGGAGAGTGCAAAATCTGGTGCAGCTTTGAATAGAAACCAATCATCTTCCAGGTTTTCTTTGTGAAAACTTAATTGAACAAGCTGAAGTCAGAAGCTGATTGGCTATCATGCACAGCTGCACCAGATTGCGCACTCTCCAGTTTTAATAAATAAACCTCATTGTGGTTGATCACGGGTGATTTTCAGTAGCGCTAGCAAAACTCACCCGTAAGCCTTGATGTCATGTCATGTCATGTCCTGCCCTGGTGAGGGTGTCACAGATAAGTAAGTAATGGGATAGCTTTCTATTGGTAGCAACAAAAGCAAGTATGTTTATTAGCGTAGGGAAAGGTTTGGTCCAAGATTTTGTCTTTTTATGTTGCTATCCCAGTGACCCCTGCACCCTCTTGTTTATTGTCCTGTTGTCACCAGGTCAGGAAGTGAGAAGAAATCTCCCCAATAGTGTTTAAGAGCACAATAAAAGGACAGACATTCTAACTTTCCCATGAGATAAAAAAAAAAAAAGGCAGGAATGTGGTTTTAAATACAATAATTTGACCCAGAATCACTATGGTTTCCTCTTAAATGTCCCTCTAGCTCCTAGACGAGCCCTGTACAATTATTCAATGTAATTCATGCTCAGTAGAGTTGTGTGTGGATTGTGGTGATTTTTCTGGCCAGAACAAGCAAACTGACCGTATGGAAGAGTCATCAAGCATGTCGTCTGTGCAGGTGCACCAATGATAGCTGGCTGACCCCTCATCACACAACCAGTCTGACTTGAGCCACTGGTGGATCTGCATAGACATCCCTTGAGACTTTACAGATTAGTGATAAAACCCAAAATTCAGCCACAAACAAGACTTCTACAGCCATGTTCAATAATCCATACAAGTCAGGTATGTGGAGCCAGTAAAGTTCACAGCAAACCTTTAGAACACATACACACCCTCCTGTCCTCTGCACCCATAAAATGGGACGATCACAGGATCAAGATGTGCAGAGCTGCTCAATAATAAGTGCAGGTTGTTCTGCTTTTTCTGCCACTGTATTTCTCTGGACAGTAACAATACCCCAGTATTCATTAATATCTTGTGCACCAGTCTGAAGAACTCTTTTTAATGAGGGCTCGGGGTCCATGCACACTGGGCTTAATAAACACTGCTTGGAATTTTTTAAATCCTTCCTGTAGAATCAGCTCAATGTTACCCTATGTGTCCATGCACATTGGGGCTTTTGGAGGTAGACTTCAAAGAAGAGTTTAGAGGACGAAAAACCCATCACAAGTGTGTTTTTGAGAGGAGTTTTCAGGCAGAAAAATGCTAAATGTTCATAAATGCGCATAAACACAGCAAATGCCCATATATTCTCCTAAACTCTTCTACACTCTGAGCAATTTTTATGCTGTTCTTTCTGTCGGAGGTTCTGACATTTTTTTCTGCTCCTAATGTACATGGAACCTCAAGCTAACCAAGCATGGGCTGAATTTTGCTAAAGTGGCTGCAATTTGTTCCATAGGTGGCTCTGTCACCCACCAGCTGGCTCACAAAAAGTAAACGCACTCATAACACTTGCATC